CCCCCCGACTTCCCAGAGCCAGTCACAGGGTTAACAGAATTCTTTTTCTTATATTAACAGAAAAATAGAAAATAAAGCTGTCATTCCAAAACATCATTGGACCTAAGTCTTCATGCTTGATCTTCAAGCAGCAGGGAGAAAGCAGAACTATTTAACTCGTTTTTTGCATCTGTCTTTACACAAAGGAAAAAACAGACCAACCTATCAAAAATAGTGCCATAAAAAACAGAATAGAAACACAAGTTAAGATAAGCAAGAAAATGGTAAGTGAGCACCTGTCCAGCCTACACGAGTTCAAATCACCAGGACCAGATGGATTACACCCCAAGGTTCTCAAGGAACTGGCAGATGTGATCTCAGACCCACTGAACTACATTTTTCAAAGATCCTGGAACACTGGGAAACTACCAGAGGACTGGAAAAGAGCTGATGTAGTTCCCATCTTCAAAAAAGGAAAAAAAATGGATCTAGAAAATTACAGACCTATCAGCCTGACCTCAATACCTGGGAAGATTCTGGAAAAGATAATTGAGCAACAAATCAGCAAACACCTAGAGGCAAACAAAATCATTACTAAAAGCCAACATGGGTTTGTCAAAAACAGATCATACCAGACAAATCTTATTGCATTTTTTGACCAAGTGACAAAATTAGTGGACCAGAGGAATGCTGTGGATATAATTTACTTGGACTTCAGTAAAGCATTTGATAAAGTAGATCACAACCTACTATTTGATAACATAGAAAAATGTGGGTTAGACAGCATCACCACCAGATGGATCCGTAGCTGGCTGACCGGTTGTACTCAGCGTGTGGTCCTCAATGGAACCGCATCTACATGGAGGGAAGTGTGTAGTGGGGTGCCCCAGGGCTCTGTTCTGGGCCCAGTGCTCTGCCACATCTTCATCAACGATTTGGACGAGGGGATAGATTGGGAATCATCAAATTTGCAGATGACACCAAGCTGGCAGGAATAGCCAACACTCCAGAAGACAGGCTTAAGATACAGGAGGATCTGGACAGACTTGAACATTGGGCGCTATCTAATAAAATGAAATTCAATGGTGAAAAAAGTAAGGTTCTACATTTAGGCAAGAAAAGCCAAATGTACAGGTATAGTATAAGGGCTACCTTGCTCAATAGTAGTATCTGTGAGAGGGATCTCGGAGTCCTAGTGGACAATCACTTAAATATGAGCCAGCAGTGTGCTGCAGCTGCCAAAAAAGCCAACGCAGTGCTAGGCTGCATTAACAGAGGGATAGAATCAAGATCACGTGAAGTGTTAATGTCACTTTACAATGCCTTGATAAGGCCACACTTGGAATACTGCATCCAGTTTTGGTCACCACGATGTAAAAAAGATGTTGAGACTCTAGAAAGAGTACAGAGAAGGGCAACAAAGATGATTAGGGGACTGGAGGCTAAAACATATAAGGAACAGTTGCTGGAATTGGGTATGTCTAGTTTAACGAAGAGAAGGACGAGGGGAGACATGATAGCCGTATTCCAATATCTCAGGGGCTGCCCCAAAGAAGAGGGAGTCAAGCTATTATCCAAAGCGCCTGAAGGCAGGACAAGAAGCAACCTAGAACTAAGGAGAAACTTCCTGACAGAACAATTAACCAATGGAACAACCTGCCTCCAGAAGTGGTGAATGCTCCAACACTGGAAGTTTTTAAAGAAGAAACTGGACAGCCATTTGTCTGAAATGTTATAGGGTTTCCTAACTGAGCAGGGAGTTGGACTAGATGAACTCCAAGGTCCCTTCCAACATTGTTGTTGTTGTTGTTGTTGTTATTATTATTATTATTATTATTATTATTATTATTATTTTAACTCTAAACAAAAATAATTTTATTTTTCTGTCATAGCTTCATCCTACGTTCTCTTTTTTGATTACAAAAACCACCATATGTATGGCAAGCTATTGCCCATTTAATCATGCTTACTGAATAAAACAAGTTCACACTGCTAAACCATAAATAAACATAAACCATAAATCATGGTTATATTCTATAATGTCTGGGGTCATTCATTGTGCTAGTTAAAATTATTACAGCTGCAACTATGTCTGCACAACATACCAAACTTTGGTTAATTAATCACAATGGTTAGCAGTGGTTCTCAACCTGTGGGTCGGGACCCCATTTGGGGTCGATCGACCATTTCACGGGGGTCGCCAAGCAAAGCTGTCCGCCATTTTTTTGTCCGCCATTTTTTTTCCCTTTTCCGGCAGGTGCCTTACCTCCCTTGAGCTGGGCCAGCTGGTGGTCGGCCTGCTCCGTCTCTGCCGCTTGCCAGCTACGCCTTGGCCGGCGCAGGGGGCGGAACCATGCATGTGCGGCACTCCCGGGCAGGGAAAGTCCTCGACTTACGACCGGTTGGGTAGTCCTCGACTTACGACCAGTTTAGTCCTCGAGGCATTAAAAAGGTTGAGAACCACTGGGTTAGATGGACCATAAGATAAATTTAACTACCATATTTTGTAGTCAGAATCTATGAACTGAGCCAATAGCACTTTTTTCCCACACACACACACCCCTCCAAACCCTAAACTATATAAAACAACTCAAATAATCGTTCTATGTATACATAACAGCATTCCTAAAAAAATAGTTGTTGGAATTTTTTTAATTTCCTTTTTATTTTGCTTTTCAGCAGGAAATACTTCTATTTAAACTTCATCATCTGAACCTTATTTGTGTTTTCTCTAAAGTGTTATACCTTTTGAACTTTCTTCCCGATTCCTGTTTACTCAACTTACACATCAAATACACATCTCACCATTAGAAAGTACAAAGTCTGAACACTACCCCTTTGTTGGCTATCCACTTACTTGGGTGTGTCATTGAATTTGCTAGACTGAGGTGTTGCACTAACGCTTACTGTGTTTTATTGGATTTGGCAGAGTTGGTATGTGAATCCAACCTCTGAGTTTGTAAATTAGAAGCTGAGTGAACCAGATCTTCATGTATTTTTCAACAGACCATGATTAGGATAAACCATGCTGACCAGACTTCAATAGGACTTAGGATCGAGTAAATACATATGCCTAAACTGTAACTCTGCACTTGCTCAATTGACAAAGAACTAACTTCGTATAAATGTGCTGTCATCAGCCTGCTGACCATCCCGCTTCTGTGTTTCAGACGATTATCCTCTTTTCGGCAAAACTATTGGGACTTATAAGGAATATTAAAGGAGATCAGTGCAGAGATACTTGTAGCGTCTTCAACTGTTGTAAAACTTAGAAGGTAGTTTGTTTAACCGTACTTAAACGAAATTATATAAACAGTGAAGAGAGTTTCTGGGGGAATCTAAAAGAGAATACGAAGAGAACTGCATCCACGCTTATTTAGTCATCGTAATGAATTCAGTGCAACTTATACTCAGATAAATTGAAATAATTACGGGAGATTAAATCCCCTAGACTTCTGGATTCGCCATGAATCGGATTGTACGCCTAGCCCATGCGCAAGAGCAGCAACATACCCAGGATACAAACGTAAACGTCCTGCAACGCAAACCCCAAAAAAGTGCAGGCAGAAAAGAAACACGTGTCGGGTTAGTTATCGACGTCGACTACAATTCCCAGCAAGCCCCGGACGAGGGAGTTTTTCGGCTCTTCGTGGAGGCGGGTTTGGAGGCGGGCTTGACTGCTTCGCCTATGTCGGTGCTTCATGGCCGCCGGAGGTTTCTTTGCCGCGGCCAATTGGGATTCTTGAGCTCTTTTGCCCTGGGCTCTTTTTCGGCAGGAACGTGCCCTCAGGTATTTCCAATGGCTGGAGCCTCGGCACCCTTGAAAGTGTGCATCGTGGGGTCGGGAAACTGGTGAGTGGAGAAGTGCAATTCGCCTCGGAGTTGGTAGGGGCGTCAGCAGAGCTTGCACTTTACTATGGCTGTTTTTTGTGGGGAGAAATCCCCGCATATTTCATCCCTCCACGAAAACTGACAGCTTCCCTAAACTGGGCGTGGACACATTTCCTACTAAGCCTGCTCAGGTGTTGCTTTGTCGGGCAGGTGGGGCTTTTGCACCTCACCCTGTTGCAGACGGCTTTAGGGGTTGAAGGCTGCCCTTTCCCCGCCTGATGTGGAAGTGTGGCTATTCCAAGTTAGTCCCTTCATTAGGAAAGGGGGGGCTGAGCTTGAATGTCCATTGATGGCCCTAGCATTTCGCCTCCCAAGAGTTTAAACCTAAGGCAGTTATCTACGATGGTATTCTCTCAGCCAGATCCTCCACCTGGATATGCTGATTCTTGAAATGATTGTAGATACTGTTTAACAGAGCCAAAGCTTACCTGATGGGAAAAACTTCCGAAAAAGCGTTGCTCTTGCAGTGATTGCAGTGCAAAAAAGTGTTTCCTTGCTGTATTTATTATAGTTACAAACCAATAATTCCAGAGGATAGAGCCAGTTACATTATTGGAAGTGGCCTCTGGCTATAAAAGAGGCAAATTCCTTGCTGATAATCATTAGGCGAGGGTGAACATAAAATGCAACCTTATAAGTGCCCTTATATACATTTAAGTTGTAATTCTCATCTTAAGCCCCGTATACTCATGTCGCACTATGCTGAAATAATTCTTGGAAAAATTTGCAATAGATTTTTGAAAAAAAATGCAAAAAAGAGTAGTCAAAATTATTACAAGTCTTGAACATTTTCCCCATGAATATTTTGATGTTTTAGCTTGTAAAAAATGTGATTATGGGAAAAATGCAATTGAGGTACAAAAATCATGGGTGGTAAGAAGAAAGAAAGGATTCTCTCAAAACTTTAGGCCTGAAGGCATCTAATGAAGTTGATTGGAAAGAAAGCATTTATTCATGCAGGACATACTTAACCTGCGAAATTCATTGCCACATAAGAGTCATGATGGCAACAAACTTAAGACAGCTTTAAAAAGGGATTGGATAACTTTGTGGAGGATAGTTCTATCAAGGGCTGTCACTTGTGAGTACTCAGATTAATTTGGGGTGGGACAGTATCCCTTCAGATATCAGGTGCAATAAACATTTTTGGGAGAGAGGTGTGTTTCACAAGCATGGCAGAGACCTGCACTGGTTGGTCCCAGTGAGAAACAGAGGGCTTAGGACTGGGACCAGTCTTTTCCTGATCTATCAGAATTGTTCTTGTGTTCATAAAAGTTCCTGTTAGAAATGAAGATGCTTGTTATGGAACACCACTTATCTCTTTGGGGTTTTTTTCCTCCAAAAGTAAAAACCTAAATTAATCCCTATATTTTCTAGGTCTAGAATCTGTGATATTTAATCAAACATTTGTTTCAAAAACCTTCAAAATTTTTCTGATCTGTTTTTCCCCTCACATTAGCAACATTCCAAGTGGTGCTAAGAATATTTGTTTTAGGAACAGTAGAACTTTCTGTTCTTTCTTCTCCATTTTTTTAAGGGAGAGAAAAGTATCTTACCAGCTCATTCCATTCTCTGTGGTGTAGTTGGCCGAAGATAAGAATGAGGCCTGAACATATACAGTCATTTATATGGATAATACAGATAGATCTGAATTGCCATCGCTTAGCCATGCGATCATAAAGTGTAACGTCAATGACTGCATCACTTAGCTACCACATTCCAGGAAGTCCTGGTTGTTGTTGTAACTCCAGATATGTAGGTCATTAAGCAGGAAGTGGAGGAAGTCCAGGTAAAGTGTGCAGTGGTGCTGCAGGGGAGGAGGAAACCTAACTCAGGCCAGGCGTGAATTGGGTGAGGCAGATGTTGCTCAGAAAGACCAGGGAAAGAGATTGAGGGATGTCTGCCTGAGTGCAAGAGCAGGGAGGCAAGGCAAAGAGTGTGTGAAGTGAGTGTGGATATATAAGCGCAGGCAGGCCAGGGAAAGAAGGAGTGGAGTAAATGTTTATGTGCAAATGCAAGAAAGCGGGAAAAAACAGGGCATAGGGCACATGCTAGCAAAGGGGGAAAGGAGAGCACGTCCATGTAGGCAAGTGAAGAAAAGTGGGGATGGGGGAGACTTAGACAAGCAACATGCACCTTTTCTTGCTAGCTTTCCCATTAACTTTGCTTATGGGAAGACAGTGGGGAACGACACACACAGCAATTGCATGACTGTGGGACACTGCAACTGATCGTATGGGCAAGCTGGTTACCAAGCATCCCAATTTTGATCACGGGGGTGGGTGGGGTGGGGTGAGGTGCAACTGCCAAAACTTTGAGAATCAGTTGTTAGACCCTTCGTTCAGTATTCAGCATTTGAACAGTTGATGAATGGTCGTAACTTGAGGACCACCTGCTTATCCTATCCATTAGAAGCCTATCCCTGTTTTTCAGTTGCTTCCAGGTGTAAACAAAATAGCTGTGTTCATATGACACTAAACAAAAAAAAAAAAAACCAATTAGCCTAGTATAACAATTGTGACTTGCTTATAGTCCATTGAGCCACATAAATCAAGAAAATTGAGGAGGGAGTTCCAAAACGCATTTAAATTATATTTTTGCAGTTGTTAGGTTTTTTTCCATGGAAAAATTGATATTTCATTGTGGTAATTAATATATTATCAGAAAAAGGTTAGGTTCTACAGTCCACTTGAATAATTTGAGCAATTAATAAAAAGTTTCTTTTGGTCTGTCTTTCTGACACTTCTATTCAAATACTATTACGAAATACTTAAAACTTCACTATTGTCTTAGTTTTGTTGGCATATTTTTTTCAACAAAAGCTGATGATCATTTAAATGGCTTAATATGATCAGTGGTTTGTTAGTGCTGACTTTGCTGCTTAATAGATGTAAAATTGTGTGAGTCCAATTACACATTTGGGTTACTATTCGTAGATGTTCCTGGAAGTAAAACTAGAAGATACTTTCAACACTGAGGAAATGGAACAATCTGCTCTTTTGCAATTCTAGTTCCTTTTGTTGGTTGTTAATTGAATCATGGAGTACAATAAATTACTTTACAATGGAAGCATCAGGTTAGTGTAGTGATTAAGATACCAGGCTGGAAACCAAGAGACTGTGAGTTCTAATCCTGCCTAAGACACAAAAGGAGCTAAGTGACCTTAGGCCTGTTTCTCTCAGTCCTGAGGAACGGCTGCTGGAATTGGGTATGTCTAGTTTAACGAAGAGAAGGACGATGGGGGACATGATAGCAGTGTTCCAATATCTCAGGGGCTGCCACAAACAAGAGGGAGTCAAGCTATTCTCCAAAGCACCTGAAAGTAGGACAAGAAGCAACGGATGGAAACTAATCAAGGAGAGAAGCAGCCTAGAACTAAGGAGAAACTTCCTGACAGTTAGAACAATTAACCAGTGGAACAACCTGCCTCCAGAAGCGGTGATTGCTCCAACACTGGAAGTTTTTAAGAAGAGACTGGACAGCCATTTGTCCGAAATGGTATAGGGTTTCCTGCCTGAGCAGGGGTTGGACTAGATGACCTCCAAGGTCCCTTCCAACTTTACTACTACTACTACTATTATTATTATTATTATTATTATTATTATTATTATTATTATTATTACTATTACTATTATTATTATTATTATTATTATTATTATTATTATTATTATTATTATTATTATTATGGAGGCAATAGCAATCTATTTCTGAAATCTTTCCAAGAAAACCACAGGGCCTAGACCAGGGAGTCACCAAGAGTCAACACTGGACAGAAATACTGGACAGAACAAAATAGGGGAGCTTTTTCTGCAAAGAGAAAGCTGAAAGAGTTGCAAATAATTGAAACCTAGGCTAGGGTCTTGCAGGGCTGTGGAGTCGGTAGATAAATGTTCCGACTCTGACTCCTCAGTTTTTTGTACTTCCGACTCCGACTCCAACTCCAGGTACCCAAAATTTCCTCTGACTCCGACTCCACAGCACTGGGGTCTTGGTATGATGGTCGTGAGCCCACCTTTTATTATAATGACTGTGAGATTTTTATTGTTCTTAGCTGCTATTTTATGCAATGCCATATTATTTATGTTTTTAATTATTGGATATGCTTTTGTTTTGTTAGCCACCCAAAATCATGAATATGAGATGGACAGCCACCAGGGGACAGTATACACTTTTTGTTCAGTTCAGTCGGGTTGGATTCTCAGAGCCTGCAGTTTTCTTGACTAGATTTTTCAGAATTAGTTTGGAACTGCCTCCTTCCTAGGGCTGAAAGATGGTGACTGGCCTAAGGTCACCATTGGCTTTGTGCTCAAGATGGGATTGACACTCATGGTTTTTCAGTTTCTAGTCTAATACCTAAACCACTACACCAAACTGGTTGTAGTATACATTTACTTTCATTCTATTTGAAATTTGTTGAGTTTAAATGACCATTGATCTCACTGTGGGGCTCAAACCATCTACCAGGAATTGGACTATGGCATTTGAGATGTCTATAAACAGTGCATTAGTTTTAGGAGTTTTCCTGGCATTGGAGCTTAATGGTGTTGTCCAGAGTTCAATTCCCAGTGTAGAAATTGTATAAAAACTCATAAAATAAGAGCATGGCATAATATAACAACTGTATATCTTTTTAAAAGGAAAGTAGACAGTGTATATCATTCTAAAGATAGACTCTGCTATAAATCATGTGATGATTTCTAGATAGAAAACATGCTATAGTTTCAATGAGCTCTACCACTAAGACATTTCTCTTCCAATGATAGCCCTACATTTGAAAATTATATGAATTTAACTGGACCTATTATCTGATGATTACATTTCTTCCTCATTCTTAAGTTGCATATTTTATAGCTTGTGTATTTTATAAATTTGCATATTTTGTAATGCATTTTTTATTCCAGGGGTTCTGCTGTGGCTAAAATAATAGGCAACAATGTAAAAACAATGCAGAAGTTTGCTTCTACAGTGAAAATGTGGGTTTTTGAAGAAACTATTAATGGGAGGAAACTTACAGACATCATAAATAATGATCATGAGAATGTGAAATATCTTCCTGGATATAAACTACCAGAAAATGTGGTAAATATTGGAAATGGATATATGTGGGCATTGGTCGATGTATCTCAATACACTTTCTCTTTATTCCACATGACATACAATTCCTGCGAACGTAAGAAAACTCTTTTGGAAATTTCTGGTCTTTCATGAATGTCTGCTACCAAACCAATTATAGGAAATTGGCTACCTATCACCTCACTGGATCTCAATCTTGGCTTATTAGTTTTACCTCATGGGGATAAATTAGATAACTTTCCAGATATCAAAGAAAATAAAGCAGTTTTCATTGACATGTATATATGTTAAATTTCAAAAGAACAGTTGCCATCCACCACAAAAAGTCAAACATAAGGTGCCTTCCTTTCCAATAATTTAATTAGAATGCTATGGTTATATTTTTAGCATAGCTTTTATTAAAATATTTTAAATCTATAACAAATACATTTAAGGAAAAGATACAATAAATGTCAAAGAGAAAAAGGAAAAGAAAAAAGAAAGAGAGAAAACAGAAGAATAGAAAACATGAAAAAATATTCAAAAGAAATAGCTTCCAATCGGTAGCTGCATCTACAGTTATATCAAACGTATTTCTCTCTAAGATTATATCACATTTCCATTCTGTCTACAACCTGTTCTTTCCTCAAAACCATGTCACAAGATTATTTTCTTTTTTAAGCAAAAAGTCTAGAAGGCTTTGGTTATAAGTATATTCCAAATTTGCTTATTTCTTTGTATTTGTAATTTGCTACTATGGTCAATTGAATATGCAGATATCAACACCTTGGCTATTCAATTATTCATTCCGGAAATCTATAATTTTCCAGTTTCATCTGCTGTAATACGATTTATCAACAAGTTTTGCAGAGTTTGTGTAATTTTTTTTTACTATTATTTTCAAATGGTTTCCTTTTGACCTTACTATATGAATTTGCTGTTCCTATTAATTAAATGCAATTTAAAATAAAGAATAATGAATTGGGTATCTTTGAACATGATTACACATATCTTCTTTTTTTCTTTTCCAAATATTTTTTTTTCAGGTTGCAGTCCCAAATTTGACTGAAGCTGTGAAAGATGCAGACTTGTTGGTTTTTGTCATTCCCCACCAGTTCATTTATAAAATCTGTGATGCAATTACTGGGCATGTAACAAAGCAAGCTGTTGGTATAACTCTCATTAAGGTACAGCAAATAAGATACAATTGTTTCTTTTCATGTATAAAATGATACTCTGAATTATTTACTATAGTATTCAATTTCTGTAACTGCTCTTAACAGAATCATGGAGTACAACTCAACTAAGTGACTCTGGGCAGCTTATTAAACAACTATTCAATAAAGTGTAGATAAAAAATTCTATAGAAATATAAGCCAGGGAACCTTGGTGACAAAATGTCAGTGATAGCGTCAGGAACTGCCCCTTGGCCATAATGATTCAGATTACAAGCTGAAGTCTCATTCACCCAGCCCACAGAAGCACCCAAGGGCAGCCATTTCCATGTGAAGAGAGTGGGAAGGTGGAAGGTAGAATATATTCAGGAGCAGCTGGGTGCTAGATATCAGGATAGATCAATCCAACATATGCTCAGGAGGAGGCTGACAAATTCCTGCAGTTATATTTCCACCTGTATATAATTTATTTATTTAAAACATTTGTTTAATCATCCATCTTATATTTTTCTCTGGGCAGCTCCCAGTAAGGTCAAAACAACATTAAAAAAAACCATATTGATGTTTGGAGAAATATAGAAGGCGCTCGGTTAGCACCCCTAAACCGTGTCCGAAGGGAGGGAGAAGAGGAGAAGAGAGAGGAGGGAAGTAGCTAGGTAGTGGAAAAGAGGGTGGAAGCGGGGAGGGGGCGCTGCCGAGCTAATGCTCGGCTAGCGCTCTAAACCGTGTCCGTAGGAAGAGGAGAGGGAAGGAGGTGGGATGTGTAGGAAGGTTGAAGGAAGAGGGCGGATGCGGGGAGGGGGTGTTGCCGGGCTGTTTTGTACATTGTAATATCAAGGTATGTTTATGTTTGTATGTTAAAATTAATAATATTGAAGTTGTATTAATGTATTTGTATGGGGGGTTATTTTGAAATTAATAAAAATTTATAATTAAAAAAAACCATATTATAATTATAATAACTAAATGCATTGAAAACAACAAAAACTTGGTTCTGTTGTGTAGTCATTTGTTACAGAACAGAACACAATAAAATAGAATAGAATACAGAGGTGGAAGGGACCTTGGAGATCTTCTAGTTCAACCTCCTGCTCAGGCAGGAAACCCTATACCATTTCGGACACATGGTTGTCCAATCGCTTTTTAAAAACTCCCAGTGTTGGAGCATTCACAACTTCTGGAGGCCATAACTTTCAGAGACCCTGAATGTTCCTGAACGTCCTGATGATTGTACACCTCTTTATTTCAGTTACTCAATAGACTTGTTTAGATCCTGGTTTTTATTACATGATGGTAATGACTATGCCTTTATTTCAAAAGTTACATACATGGGTTTGGGGAAAAAAAATTAGCATAAAACCAAGTTGTAGTTTTCCATCCTCTGTTTTTTAGCAAATATAAATAATGTGGAAAACTTTTTCCTTCTTTCTATGTTTTGCTCTTGTTCGCTAGATTTTAATGTATGCCCTAACTGAAAAAAAATTAGGCAGATTCAGAAATAACTATACTTTTGCCAACCATGGTGTTCTACTAAAATAATGTGATATGTTCCACCTTGTTTTTGAATAGTGCTTTTAAAATGTTGAAAGGAAACAGTGATTTAAAAAAAAGAGTGACTTTAAAATGTTGAAAGGAAAAAATGCTAAATGTTCATTTAGTACAGGACAGAATTGTATGTAAATCTGTAAATCTATGCTTAAAAATGTCATAAACTGAATATGTCTGATTGTAAGCAAACACTGCATCAGTAAAGATTAGATAATTTTATATGCTATGCACATGCCATTGTAAAGTTCATCCAGAGCATTACTGACTGCATATTCTTTTTTTTTTTTTAATGATTATCAATTGCAACCACTGCCTTCCTATGTTTCTTGCAGGGTATAGATGAAGGCCCTGAGGGACTCAGACTCATCTCTGATGTAATCCGGGCAAAAATGGGGATAGATATCAGTGTGTTGATGGGAGCAAACATTGCCAATGAAGTAGCTGCAGAGAAGTTCTGTGAAACCACAATAGGTAAATTTCAAAAAATTAACATGATGCTTTTCAATAAATACCTCCATTTCAGTTTTGCCCAATCCTTAGTATCTCCTGCATTTGTTCATATTTAGTTTGTAATCCTACCCATGGATTAGTAATAAGTAGGTGTTATTGAACTTAGTGATGCTGACATTAATAGTATGATATTGCCTACTTCAATTCTCTGTAACGGGAATAAGCAGTGAATATTTCCTTTGTGAGGATAGAAAGGATATTCCTAACTGTTATTCTCCTTTAAAAAAGAAAGAAAGAAACTCCTAAATTTCCAGCTGTGTTTTTAAAAATATCAACAGAGTTGCTGTTCATAACATTTGGGTGGGTTCAGGAATATCTACAGCAATAATCATTGGGTTTAAAATGACAAATGCAACTGAGTAATCAGATCTCTCCTCCTTATAATCAACCATTGCATGCATTATATATGTATAAAAAGAATCGGAGTTTTGATTGCCAAATCATGCCTCTCATTTTAAAGACAGTGTTTATTGCTGCAGAGGCCTCTGCCACTGCTCTTCAGCAATAACCTTTTGCTCTCAATAAAGCGGCATTTTGTTTTTCATTTCAGTAACGTTGTAAAGCCAGGGAAATTAATGAAGCCTGGGAAAATGGCCCCTTGTCATTTAACGGGAGTGCTGATTTACTACCAGCTTATCATGTACTTAAGAGCCGAGGGCTTGGCCACACAAGGAAACAACAGCCAATCATGAGCCATCAACAACTAATCAACCAATAGGAAGGCACCACATAAATATTACTCACAGAATAGCCAAAACATATATTCCAGTAGAGAGAATTCCCTGAAAATGGGCATATGTCCAAGAGCTCGGAAGACTAAATCTCTGGTCCCGGTGACTGACCCACATTTGATCTTAAAGCAGATTTCTTCAGGCAGAAGCCCTCCAAGTATTTTGGACTATAATTCTAGAATATTCAACCAGGACTGAAATCCTGGAAGTTGTTGGGCCAAGGCATCCAGAGCAAAGGTCCCCAACCTTTTGGGCACCAGGGACTGGTTCTGTGGAGAGAGGTTTTTCCGTGGACTGGAGGGTGCCTAGTTTTGTGTGTTGCCTGCATCCCGCAGATGGGGCTTCACTTGTTTGCGCAGACCGGTTGCTGACATGCCACGGACCGGTACTGGTCCATGGACCAGGGATTGGGGACCCCTGATCCAGAGAATATCAGACTGAATTATATGGTGAATAGTGCAATCCAAGATAGGTCTATTTAAAAAGAAATTCTATAGAGCAGGGGTGTCAAACTGCCGGCCCACAGGCCAGATGCATCATGCCAAAACCGCACCCACCCCATTGCCGGCAATGAAAAAAAAGTCACAATACATCGCAACACGTCACGTGACTTGCGAGTTTGACACCCCTGCTATAGAGGTTCAATGAGTCTTACTATTTGACAAGCACTAGCAATACAATACCTTGACATATATTAAGGCCTTCCAAAACCTGCATGTGCTTTTTGTAGCTGAAAAATCATGTCTTAATTATTGCCTTTGTATCTCAAGTACATCTGTTTTGTCAGTAGTATGATTCTTTCATGATAGGATAAATTAGGATTCTAGAAGTATGAAATATGTATTGCCTTGGCTGATTCAATATTAGCCAAAGGGTAAATTAGTTTTCTCTATATTTTATTCGCCATAATACACTATTTCAAAACAAAGAGGCATTTATTAGTAAAAGCCTACATCAAATAAAATATGACTAGACAGCATATAATTGAACATATATACAAGAATCATCAGGTGGCTAATCTCTAGAGATTTTCCCCAAAGGTGCTTTTCCAAAAGGCAACTGGACTTTGTTTTTTTCCTTGAAAACATTTCATTTCTTATCCAAAAAGCTTTTTCAGTTCTAACTCTTCTGAAGCTTCTTGGATAAACAGTGAAATATTTTCAAGGGAAAAACCAAGAAAATCCAGTCCAATTGCCTTTTGGAAAAGCTCCTTTGACCTGGATGATTGAGAATCTCCATAAACCTCTAGAGATTTCTCGGTCTATTTCTCATCTCTCACTAGATCTCAGCCATTCTGGTATAAATTAACAGTTGCTCTGGAATCAGAAGGATTTGGAGCATGCTGAAGATTCAACGTTTTTAATTGAGTTGTGTAAAGTTTTTCTTTTGTTTCCAACTTGGAAATGCTGAGATGATAATTAAATGACATTAGCAATTTCTTTTCCCTTTTCCTTTCCCTGCTTCCCAACAAAAACAGGGTCTAAAATCTTGGAAAATGGCCTCCTTTTCAAAGAACTTCTACAGACCCCAAACTTCCGAATAACTGTTGTGGATGATGCTGATACAGTTGAGATTTGTGGTGCTCTTAAGGTACTTTTTTCCTTTTCTAAAGAGAGCATTAAAAAACTAAATAGCCTCCCACCTACCCATAAGAGAAATGCTTGCAGAGAAATTTGTTACAAGAATTGATTTCAGTGTTTGCTTCTTCTGCAATCTTCAGTAATATGTTGATGCCAAAACTATCTTATTGGATTAATGCAAAATTTCTCTCAGTGCATAGGCACTTACATCTTCCTCTTTCTTCAAAAGCACTTTGAAATAGGAGTTTTAGATTTTTATTGTTGGTTGGTTTAATGGTAGACAAGAACTAGGGCAACTTTTTCCTTTTTAGCCAATTGTATCTCATAGGATAAAGTTGGAATTGGACTAAGTTCATGCAAGATTCACATAGAATTAAGATTGGTAACCAAGATTTGTAACCATGGTGAATTAAGATTTTTATATCTTGGTTTATAATCCTAAGTGATACTGAATGATTTCTTATATTGCAACACATTTTTTCATATCTGAATGGGTTTCCAGACAAGATACAAGGCACTAGAGCTTATAATTCTTAGAATTTCAGCCAACGTGGCCACTGGGATATAATTCATTACATAAAGGTGATAGACAACTAGTTCATGCCCTATTTAAATGCATTTCCATCACAGCAAAGAGTGATCAGATAAAATGTAAAATTAATTCTGGAAATTGATAATTGTTTAAGACTATTCAGTATTATCATACAAATCAAACTTACTTTCAGAAATCAGAATTCCCTTTCTTCAAGATAATGCAGTTGATTTACCCACCAGATAATACTGCATACTTAAAGCCAGACATAAGGGATGGCTTACCAGTGTGATTTAGAAATATGCCTGCCCCCCCCCCAAAAAAAAACAAAAGAAGCTGGGTGGGCATCCTATGGGTTAAAGAGGATGATAGGAACAAATGTACCAAAGTTCCTTTTGGGGAGTGGCTTGGCTCAGCAGCCTATTAATGAAAGATACTGTATCAATGATATATCATTTTGCGCTTGTAACATGTTTTCAAAATGCCAAATTTGCTTCCTAATCACTTTTTGTGACCTTCTGACAAGCAAAGTCAATGGGAAGCCACATTCATTTAAAAACTGTGTTACTAACTTAACAACTGCAACAATTCATTTAACAACTGTGGCAAAAAAGGGGCAAAATTCACTTAACAGATATCTCACTTAGATACAGAAATTTTAGGTTCAGTTGAGAACTTGAAATTTATGTGGCATGCATGTAACTGTAGGTTCAGTGGTTTCTTCAGTGGTTTGCCTTTTCCGTGTCTTTTATTTAGAACATAGTGGCAGTAGGAGCTGGCTTCTGTGATGGTCTTCGCTGTGGAGATAATACCAAAGCAGCTGTCATTAGACTTGGATTAATGGAAATGATAGCTTTTGCCAAAATCTTCTGCAAGGGGCAGGTCTCTATTGCTACTTTCCTGGAGAGCTGTGGGGTTGCAGATTTAATCACAACTTGTTACGGTGGCCGAAATCGGAGAGTGGCTGAAGCATTTGCTAAAACAGGAAAGGTATATTACACGTGGTGTCAGGGATACTTTCTCTCAACCCAAGAGGTTAACACATTTGGAATGATTCTTTTGTAGCTGTATCAGAAGGTAATAAGGTATGTTTTTGCACTTAGTTATAACTTATTGAGTTTATGTTTCTATAATATAACTGCAAACGTTTTTTTTATTTCTAAACCGTACTGAAATTACAGAGTGGCCAAAAGGGGCCTGTTTCCTTTGTTTTTAGTAAATATTTTTAGAGGACTCTAACTTGTGTTAAAAGGAAAATAAGAAGAAAACAAATCCCACCCAAAGGTTAGTGACCATCCTGAATCAGAACCTCTAAAAATGCCTCAGGCAATAACTGCTTTGTTAAAAGTAATAATAGAGCTAGGCAATGTCATAACCACAATGCCAGTGTATTCACAGACTATGCTAATAACAGAGTAGCTGCTAATTGTAATAAGAGTACGACTTGCTAATTGCTTGTTTTTAAGGTAGATTGGTAAAGGGCTAATGGACTAGGAAGTAAGAAGTAGGATTTCTATCTGAAACTCTTAACAGGTACATTTACATTCTTACCCATATCAATGAAACTTAGAAATACTTTTTTTTTTTAACATTCAGAGTATTGAAGAACTGGAGCAAGAGATGCTGAATGGGCAGAAACTTCAAGGACCACAGACTTCTGCAGAAGTGTATCGCATTCTTCAGCAGAAAAGTTTGGTGGAAAAGTAAGTGGGCCACTAATCTTCTGATTTCTTTCCCCTATTTTCAATCCCAGATACCTCCCAAATCTGTTCCAAAAACTTTTGGATCATTTGAGTTTGTGTTAGGAAGTAAGGACTCTTCTACTCAAGAGAGTTTGCTAGGACTGAGGAACTAGTAATTACTGAGTTATATATTTAAATAATCTCCCAATAATAATATTAATATATAAATAGTCTCATTCTGCTTGTTTTGACAGAAAACCAAACCATAATTTTATCTAGTCCTTTTAAAATTGTGTGCATGCTTAAGAATGTTTGCACACTTGATTACTTGAAAATTCAAAAAGTGTTTATCCTAAGTTCCTGCAGTAGTTTTCCTGTAGTTTATTTTCTTTAATCATAAGCAATATACCAATTTGTTTAACTTCCAGTTCCTTTTAGGAGTTGCCTTTATAATATGTTCTCCCAACCTTTCTCTGTTTTATTGTAAAAGTTACTAATAGAAAATAAAACAGAGAAACAAGACCTATATTTCATAAAGAAGTTCAAAAACTCCTACAGAATTTGATTTTCAGTTCTTGTGACTTATGAAGTTCTTGTGATTTGGAAACAAAAGTGGTTGGAACATTTGTGGCCTTCCCATAAAGCAGGGGTGGGGAACTATGGCCCTTTTATGACTTGTGGATTCCCAGCTATGCTGGCTCAGAAATTCTGGGAGTTGAAGTCCACAAGTCATAAAAGGGCCATAGTTCCCCATCTCTGCAAAAGGATAAATCAGTCTTGAAATTCTTAATATCTGGTTCCGATTTTTAACATATCCATGACGGGAACAAATAGGATATACATATGTTGTTGTTTTTCTTGGCATTTTTCCAGCATGGTTGCAGGGCCCACTTGCTTTTGCACTGAACTCGTCTGGTTCTTACAAGCAAAGCTATCAAGGCATGATGCAAGAGGGATTTTATTAATCACAGAGCCAGAAGGAGATTCGGGCTGAGAAAGAGTGACTTGTCCAAAATCATTCAGCTGGTTTCCATACTGAAGTGAGGACCAAAATCTGGGTCTTCCAATTCCTCATCCAGTGCTCCAACATGTTGGCATTCAATGAATACATTGTAAAATGAACTGGTAATTTTGCCCTGCAGAATGTAATGAACAAAAAAGAAGATATGTTTTTCCTCTAAAAATTTTATGGTGTTTTTATTGCACTATACTTTCTTAATGTAGGGACTAATCCATTTAAATATATTTGCCTGAATAGAAAAAGGAGATAACAAATCAAACAAATAAATAAATGGTATCTCAGATTTATTTTTGTCATCAGAGAATCATGAAAGTTGAACACCTATAGCTTTTATTCTCTTCTTAGTAAGATGATTACTTGTCTTATTTTTTAGGTTTCCACTATTTACTGCTGTTTACAAAATCTGCTATGAAGGAAAGCCTGTCCAAGAAATGATCTCCTGCCTCCAGAGCCATCCAGAACATATATAAAGCATGCTTTTTACCATTGTCTCATCTCCTGCCTTTTCATACTCATTCATAAGTTCAAATTAATGTAATTGGTTTGCCTACTCCATGAAGAAATTGTAGAAATATGTGTGTCTATGGATTTCTCTAAATTGTGTATTATACAACTCCTAGAATACCAGTTATTATTTTTACTGGCTAAGAGTCAGATGGCTTTCAAATATATTATGCAGAAGTTGCACACTCCTCAAACTTTGTAATCCCCTTGCCCTATTTGAAATGCTTGATGTTCCTGTAAGCATAATTCTAATGTTTCCTTTTCCAGCAGGGATTATTCTAGAACCTCCCGGTGATTTAAGGGGAAGATGCAATTAGGACAGAACTAAGGTACTACAGTACTGCAAAATTTTATTGTACTACAGATCCCATTAGTCCCAGATGCGTTAATAGCAATAAGAAGAGTTTTAGTTGTCAATATCTGGAGACCTATAAATTGAGCATATCATGCAAGGTCACCTAGAAGCTGTTTGCTAAAGTGTAGCAAGCTTCAAGAACTTGTTTTTTCAATCAGATTTGCACATCTTGTATGGCATAGATTACCATTTAATGAGAATTACTTTGGTATCATTTGATTAGTGGGAAGTGGCATTAAGATTTTTAAAACTTAAAATTAAAGAAATGGAGATTTTTCAGATGTCCTTTTTAAGTTATTGTGGTCTTTTAAAAAAAAACAAACTGGCTTGCCAATTCAGTAAGTGTATGGAAGTGCAATTCCTTAGGATTCCTGCTTTATTGGGATGTGATGGGAATTGTATTCCTAAGTGGTAAGATTGCTATTTAAGGCAAAAATTGCCCTCCAATATTTATCCCTTCTCTAATTTTCCATTCAGCTTTCTCGATTTTCTCTACCTAAGCCTCTTTGTATTTTAGGTAACAAATCAAAGCTTTTTTGATCTAGCAGTGATGCTTAACATCACACATTTTTAAACAATACATAATCCTATGGATTTATATATGCAGCTTCAAAGCTGCTCTTATCCCAGCTGAATAATATTAAGGAGATTATGATATAAGTATACGTATGAAGATGAGGCATAACTGTGTGAAAGTTTTTACATGTTTTGTAATAAGATTGCAACCCACTATCACTCAGATTGACCCGCTGACCAGAAGTTCTTTCAGGTGGAATTTAACAAGCAATCTGCTATTATGCTCTGATGTGCAAAACTGTGAAGGTCGCTGGAGGTTGGTGTAGAATCTTTGTTTCCTCAGCATATTGTTTGTCCATTTGTGGGATTAAATTAGAAAGGGCCAAAAAGAGTTCTTTTCTCCAGCAAGGTTCCAATATGGGAGTGTATAGCTCAGTGATGGCGAACCTTTTAGAGACTGAGTGCCCAAACTGCAACCCAAAATCCACTTATACATCGTCGAGTGCCAGGTGGGTGGAGCCCATTGGCTGGACGTGACCAATTGGGTGGGCGTGGCCAATTGGGTGGGCATGGCTGCAGTGGTAACGGCAGACTGGGTGGGACTAAAAAGTTCAATCAATCAATTCCAACTTTGCAATAACTTTTTTTCCCCCATGAGTAGTTGAAATTGACTGATTGAACCTTTTTTTTTTTTTTGCACATAATGGCAGAAGCTTAAAGCGAAAAGGTTTTATAAAACCCAGCTGAAGGCCTAGGATTGGGGCTACGACGTGCGTGCCCACAGAGAGGGCTCTGAGTGCCGCCTCTGGCACCCGTGCCATAGATTCGCCACCACTGATATAGCTTTTCTATTGAACTAACAGCAGCATGTGTGCTTTGCTTTTACACTATCCACCAGTCCAGTGCTTGAGATACAGAATGGACATATATACCAGCCTTTCACCAACCTGGAGAGTGCAGACCAGTAAAAATCTGAAAAGTGTTGTCTCCACACAGTTGAATACTACCCACTTGGGAAGCCTAGTGCAGAGGAGTTGTTCTGATTATATCCAAAGTGAATATAACTTGTGATTCCCATTACTCTGCAAATGTTCCTTACTACAAAACATTACTATTTTAGCTGTTTTTATTTTGGTGCCTTTTTTTTTGCTTATGTTTCAATTGCTATTTGAGTTGCCTTTGAAAATCCATTTAGCAGGAGCCCACTTGTTAGATATGACTGTCTAGAATGGGAATAAGATGTTTTTGGAAAAAAAATGATAAAAATTATGTTGGTTAAATAAGTAATAGTCTGATTAACAAACTATGTAAAGCTATCCTCTCAATTGCTGCCTTCAGATCTGTGGAATTACAACATTTGTCATTTGTGACCAACATGGGTAGTCCAATATTTCTGGAAGGCATGTGATTGGGGAAAGCTGATCTAATGTATATGAAATTAATCATGTGAATACTAGTCTTCTTGATTATTATTAAGCTAAAATTAATACCTTGTCTTAGAATAATAGAATTATAGGGTGGAAGGGATCTTTGAGGTCTTGCCATCCCAGACAAATGGTTGTCTAAATCTTTTCTTGAAACTCTCCAGCAATGGAGCACTCACAACTCCAGGAGGCAAGCTATTCCACTGATAAATCATTCTCACTATCAGCAAAGTCCTTATTTCCAGACTTCCTCTGAACAGCTCTGGTCTCACTGTTATGGAGAATAAATCAAAGCCCTTGAAGTATTGGAAGATTGCTATCATGTGTCCTCTGAACTTTCTCTTCATTAGTCTAGAAATGCTAGTTCCCTTAGCCATTCATTACAATTTAGCTTCCAAACCTCTCATCATCTTGGTTGCTCTTCTCTACACTTTTTCTAGGGCCTCAGTATCTCTTCTTCAAAAAGCCAATTTATTCTTATAACAGCCTCATGAGGAATTAGGCTGAGGACAATAAGCAGCTGAAAGTTGTTCAGTTTGCTTATAGCTGATTGGCAGGATTTGAATCAAAAACTCCATTCATACTTTTGGACTACATTTATTTTAAGTATACTCCCTGACCTCAGAGCATTAATTTAATGATTTATTCTCCTGTTGAGTTCGTTCATTCATTTACTATGAATTGTCTGTTTTAAGTGCCCTGAATAAAATCATTGCATGATTTTTGAGATAGAAGAGGCTGACTCAAGCACAATCATTTGTAATTGGGATCACACTGAAAATTAGGAAATCAAGTTTTTTTTTAAAATTTTCTATATCATTGTTTTTCTTCCCTTACAGAAAATGTTAGAAAATTATTTTGAGCTACAAGCCTCTGAGTTTTCTATGGGTAGCATAACACACAAAGTGGAATCTAGAATGGTAATTTGGTATAAGACTGGAGAACCCAGGATCCTGCAAATGTTGCAAGACCCCTCTTCCAATTAGCTCCAATCAGGTGATCAGGGGAAGTGGGAGCCATATTCCAGCAATGTCTGGAGGGACACTGAATTCCCACTCTTAATGTAGAAGGAAAGCAGCTTCTTTTTGAAACAGTCCAAATAATGCTTGTTACTTGATCCAAATTTTTCTCAATTTGGAGGCTTCCACATGTGTTGAAACCAGATGTAGTCCCAGCACATCTGGAAAGCTGTCAATTGGATGTAGCTGTTCTATCCCAATGAAAACCTGATATACTTTGCTTCAAGCAGTTAAAGCAATGTTTTGGTTGATCAGTGAAGATGCTCATAACTTAGAATGGCTTGAATACAAGATGGTAATGAAAAAATGTTTATACATTTGAAAAGGCACAATTGAGAAAAAGCTGATATCATAAAACACATATTTTTCTTTATAGTATCAAAGCCTACTAGACGTAATATGAAGGGACTGCTTTTCTTTTATTACTGAATCTAGATTAATATTTCTGCCTTTAATTCTAACATTCAATATGTATAGCCATTTTGTATATGTGTTTGTAATATGCAAAGAGCTGTGTAAACTGTGGTGAATTATGCATATTGTCAAATTGTTTAAAACTATTTATCCCATTTTACTCCTTTTTCCCCACTTGATTTTTAAAATCAGGTGGAAGTGTTAGTAAAAAATTTATCTATGTCACTCACTGTTATTGTTTTCAATAAAACATAACTTTCTGTGTTTCTTACTTGTACAATCAGTGTTTAGAATTTGTTACTCTCTCAATTATATTTGCCACATTAATTTCTTCAGAAAGGGAACAGGAAAACAAAAGGTTAGAAAGTGCTAATGTCTTTGTCCTGTTGCCTAGTTGATTAAAATAACATAGCCAGTTACAAACAGAAATTCAGGTAACACAAGAGTTGACCTAATAGTCTTCAATAGTAGTATTTTTATTTGATATCTACATATTTAATAAGTACAAAACATATTTCCCCCACAACTTGTATCAAGACTTTTATTAATGCTAGATAAAATATGAAAAAGTAAAATAAGTTGAGGAAAGGATGGAAGGACATCTGCATATTTGTGGTCAAACATAGCCTATCAAAGTATATCTCTAAGGCTACAACACAAAGTACACTTACTTTTTTAATGGTTCTTATTTCTGGGTAAACATACATAATGTAGCTTTAAGTCCATTTTGAAACTGTTTTATAGGTAGTCCTCAACTAACAGCCATGATTGAGCCCAATTTCTGTTGCTAAGCAAAGCAGAATTTAAGTGAGTTTTGCCTCATTTTATTATTTTTTTCACAGCTGTTAAATGAATCATGTGATCATTAAGCAAATCTGGCTTCCCCCATTGACTTTGCTTGTCCAAAGCCAGCTGGGAAGGTTACACATATGGTGATCACATGACCCCCGGGATAGTGCAACTGTCATAAATACATGCCGGTTTCCAAGTACCCAAATTTTGATCTGTATAATAATGGAAAGAAGTGTATATGGATTGCTTTATGCTAGGCTTTTGCCCAACACTATATTGAACGTAGATGATGTTGGTTACCAGCAATCGATACACACTTCTTCATGTCCACATTTTGTTGCATAATGTGACCATCGGAGGCCATTACTGTACAAATCGCAATTTTACATACTGGAGCGGTGATGGTAGCACCTTTCTTTCATTCTGTATTCCATTCTAGCTCTGATACTAAGCTGTTATTCTGGAACAAACACACTTTTCACCCTCTGTGAGATCTAAGTAAAATAGACTTCCCCAATCTTGTGTCCTCGTGGTATGTTTGTTGCAGGAGAATTATAAGGTTAATAATTGAATACATTTGGTGGGTACTGATGGGTAAAGCTGATATAGACATTTAAAAGAAGTTTAAATCAGATCGTTTTTCTAGTCACAAAACTGGAATAATGGCAATAGTTATAATGCCAAGAGAATTTTGGTAGTCTATGCTTTTTAAAAGCTTTTTTTTTTCAAAAATATTTATATCTGCCAAACTCTTACTGCAACCATGAAACAACAATGGAGTACTAGAAATTAAAAATCTAATATTCTAATTGGACCTCAATAAAAAATTGGACATATGATTCATTTCATTTATGCTCTGTGGAGCTCAAAGCAGACATTCTACTTTGTTCTACTCTCAAAACTATTCTGCAAGTACAAGTCAGTTTAAGAATTAAGAATAAACAACCAACAA